AAAGACTTGAAAATCTTTCATTATACTCTGTGTTATTTAAATTGTAAGATACAGTTATAAAAATATCAGGAGTCTGTTCATCCAAATATTATTAACCAGGATAACATTTACAGCAAGCTGTGTTTGTCAAACATCGATTACTTATTTTGTACGTTGTAAAACATATATTTATTCTCCGCCTAACTAAAAAGTAGCACAGCCGTTAAAAACGTGCATCACGTGACACTTGTTTTCTTAAGCTAATGTTAACTTAAAAAATTTTAAATATCTGGCAGAAACATTTAAGAAAATCGTGAACCAATTTCGTTGCTTTTTTTTAAATTTCCATTGCTAAATTATAGTTTCATTTTTCTATAGCATAGCAGTTTAAAGACTTTTTACTGAATTTAAAAATTGCGTATTGTGGTTACATTATTGTGAAAACGAAATTGTGGCTTTACTTTAAAGTTCGTCAGAAATATTTTTTATTGATCATTATTTCTAACTTCACCGGCAAATGACGACTTCCAAAATTGAATTGATAGTGAATGATGTACAGTGCGCAAAAAATAAAAATGGACAAACCTGAATAGCTTTTGACGTAATGATTGGATTTTCATGTTCTAAAAACATAAAATTCTGTTTATAAATATTAATTTCGATTGATAATATGTGTTAACTCTTTGTCGCAGATCGGACACCGGTGTTCCAGTTATATATGCATTTTCTTTCTGATGCTTTAATTGCAAGTAAAAATACATTTAATTATATTTTAATTATAAAAAGCAGTCTAATAGTTACTAAAAAACTCAGTTAGATTGTTGGAATTATATTTGAACTAAAATATAAAATTCAATAAAAGTAGTTTGAATTTTTTTTTTCATTCATATTCAAAAATATATCAATAATTCATTTTGAAAATAAAAAAAATTCAAGAAATATTAACTGAAAAGAACTGCAAATTCGAAAATTTTTTTTTTTTGAAGTGAGCTATCTTTTGAAGATTTTACCTTTAAAACCAAAAGGGACAACGGTGTCCTATGCCGCATTTCATAACCATAAATTATTAGGATGCTTAATACAATATTTATCGCTTATTTCACTTAAATCTAATATTTTTCACTTTTTAAAAATTAATAAAAAATATATTTAATGAAATTCTACCTCAAATGGTTAACTAGTTTCAAGATTTAAATTACAGGTGTACTGATGTACAAAATTCATGAATTGGTCAATTTATAGATAAGTTTAAATAAGGAAAACTAATTTACTGTGCTAAAAATATTTAAAATTCTTATATTTTTATTTATTTTTATTTACATCTAATCAAGAACTGTTTAGTTATAAATTTATCACATTACAATCAACAACTGATTAAGGTAAGGGATAGAAACTTCGATTTAACTCTATATTTTAAAATATTTGAGGAATTCCGCTTATTTCACTGCAGTTTCCTTATCTGAATTCAAGAATAAAATTTAAAACAATTTACAATTAAATAAAAATATTTCCTAGATTACATATAAGCATTTCACACAATACATAATTTCCTATTAAATTTTCTCGATGAGGAATTGTATAGCTTGAAAGCAGTAATTTGAAAGAACATTATTTTTCCCAATGGGCGTTGACTTGATTAATATAAAGCCGAAAACTGTTTCAAGGTCAGTTAACAAAAGACTAGTAATAATAACAATTGCTTTCATAAAACAATGATTAAACTTTGTCGCTTTCAATAGAACTATAATTTGAATGAAACATCTACCTCTTCAAATCGAACCTAAATGGATTTTGGAATAAATGGACTCGATGAAAGGAAATAAGTAGTACTCTGTGGTTTTCAAGGTTCAATTCATTTAAACTTATGAATAATATCTAACCCACACATCACTTTCATTGGATCGATGTAAAATAAAGACGATATTTGATTACAGATGTAAAATTTATTAAAAAAATTTAAAAAAAATACTAAATACCATGGGAGGATTCGAGGTAAATTGTTTTAAATTTAAGGATTGTGCAAAAATGGTGTCCAACTTTCTTCAAAAAAATATTAAATAACTTTTTTCATAAAAATCATAAAAGATAAGCATTCCCGCTGCAGTTAATTGTGGGCAAAGGGATCATGAAGATTCAGGCTACACAATTTCAAGACCAATGGTATGATGGAGGCAATATGTTCAGATGGCGTGCTGACTACCTCTAATGCCTAGATGGTGTGGTACCCATCGATCTAAAGTTAGGTGGGCTTCAAATCGCCACTGAGGATCGAACCTCAGTCCTCCACAATGACAGCTCACTGTCTCTAACCACTGAGCCATTGTGGATTCCTTTATCACATTCCACGCTATAGTACTTAAACAAATATACTTGCAGTTCAAAAACAAAGCACTTCATTGCAATTTAAGTCCCAAATTTTATTTCTAAACTTTAACTATGGATTTTAATGACACTAGTAAGAGTAATAATAATATGTGTCTATATTTTATATGAAAGAACATAAAGTTTCGCATAAAAAAAATTAATTGAAAGGTAATGGTAATAAAAAAAAACAATTGAAAGCAGTAATATTTTGGATTAGATATAATTTGCTTTAAATCGCTTTAAATTAATCAATACATAATATGTACTTTTAAATAAATAGAATTTTTTTCTTTAAAAAAAAATTCATTGTTTTTACTAATAAAATTACCAACTCATTTCATTTGGTCACATAATTTTATATAAATTTATAAAGTCATATACACAATCATAAAATTTCAACAACTTGGATTCATTTTAGTACTACCCATTCTTTCTCCCATAGAGAGCTAGCTTGTCCATNTTTCATTTGGTCACATAATTTTATATAAATTTATAAAGTCATATACACAATCATAAAATTTCAATTACTTGGATTCATTTTAGTACTACCCATTCTTTCTCCCATAGAGAGCTAGCTTGTCCATAGAGTTACACCTGTGTTAACATTTCGTCAATACACACATTTGCAGGGCAGATTTGTTAGCACTTTCGGTGGCACCATATTAGGAGGGCCATCGTTGCACCCACAGGAAGGACTGATAGGATAGAGAATGAAGGAACATCTATGACATGCCTGGGTTTCGGACCCAGAGCCTTTCTGATGCAAGGCCAGTTCCCTGTCCCCTACACACAGTACTACTACCCTTACAATCCGGTCGGTTGAATTAAAAATGCTATTGAACGAGGAAGACTCACAATCACCAAAATGTACCACAAACAGGTGTTTTTTCCGGTACTTATTCGCAGGGCCATGAAGAAATCCTTACAACGGTATCTATAATAAAAATGCACCAATAATCATGATACCATTATTGCCTTCACCAAATTTAATTAAGCATCATTGTGAGTAATAACACAACGACTTTTTACCTTTCTCTTAGACGAATAAATTGAATTTCTCAATTAATTTTGCATTTTTGTCCATAGCTTATTTTTTAATTTCAGCTAGAACTCATTATCAAAGTCAAATAAGCATCATTGGTGTCAGAAAAAGCATTACAAATTTTTTTCTTTTCCTCTAAACGAAAAAAATTATTTCTCCATTAATTTTGCGTTTCAGTACCTAATTTATTTTATTTAAATCGCCATTGATTCAAAATAATTTCGTTTTACAGTAATACGTTTCAAACATACGTTTCAGATTACTTTAGGAATACTCATTTCGTGAGGTAGTCCACTTATAGTACCACTTTCTTGCTAATAATTGAGACATAAAGAATAAAAAAAAAACTAAACATTAAAAAATGAGTAATAAACTATTTTTTTTTTAAATGATAAGAACTATTTATAAAACCTATAAGCTAGCAAACAATCCCGATGTTATCTTTAATATATTTGATGAAACAAAATCGTCTGCAATTTTATTTATAAAGGCTAATTGATAAGGGAAAATATAATTTTTTAAACGTCTCTCCCAAACGATCAATTAAAATTTTTTAACAATTGTTTCGATCATGATCTATAATTAATCCTTTTCACCTCTGTCTTAATTTTAGAACACTAGAACAATGACTTTTAGAGTTATAAGAGAGGCAATTACAAACACATTTTATATTACAGATGAAAAATCAAAACTAATGAATAACGTAGTATTTCAGCAACATATACAGACCGTATATAAAGATATGATTTCATAGTAAAGTTATAATTAAAATTTCATTAGAATCCATGCCCAGAGTTGTCGTCCTACGGTGTCGTTATACATCGTACTAAGGGAGCAACGCTATTATGAACTGTTCCTTCGTGTGCTCCTGAACAGGTTATAATAGAGAAGTGCCCCTAACCGCGTGCGACGACAAAGTAACTCCCTGATCTAGCACTGTGAAAAACTGGCCTTCGTGGAGGACTTTGTAATGGAACTAACCTGTATTTGCGTTACATGGTGAGCAAAATAGCAAAAACTTCCCACGGTTAGCTCGACAACTATTTTCTGAAATTTTTGCAATATTCATTTTATATTCTTTTGACAAAATTATTAGAGTACAATTAAATGAAATATGTTTTGTTTAGTGTTATATTTAATTTATTCCTTCGTCATAATTAATATATTAATTTGTGATAGTTGCAGCCTGTTTGAATTCTTAAATATATAAAAACTTTATTGCACCATTAAAAATTAAAAGTAACGAAAAAACGAAAGTTGTACATGTATTTTTTAACAAAATATTCGTAGTTTTGTATCCGAATTAAATCAAATAGGCGTTTCATTTTAGGACAATATTATTTTTTAAATCATCATTATAAGGGAAAAAAATTTACTGACTACAGGAATGTATAAATGGCTGTTTATAATCTGATCCATCCATAATTTTAACCAATTCAATTAGGAAAAATTTCTTTAGAATGAAGCGATATAATTAAAAAAAAATTAAAATCGGAATTCCAATTTTTCAGTAAGAAATTCAACTTCTTATCATAAACATTAAATTAATGAATTAATGAGTTTTAAGCATTGAAAGTGTGTTATTGAAACAAATTTTGTAAAAAAAATGTAGAACTTCATAATTGAATATATTTATTTCACCCACATTTAATGTTTCATCATAAATGGTGGCAACAGTTATAATTACAATTTAAATGTCGATTTCATCACACATCGTTACATGAATTTCCTTGTACAAACTCCATAATCTTATCCACACATTCTTGTGGCATTGGCTCAGTTACTGCACAGCGAACCTTTTCCACATCTTTAGACATGCATATCTAATAAATAAGTAAATAAATAAATACATTAAAAAAAATTAAGGAACACGACAAAAAAGTACCTTTATTCTACTATTAGAAAAAGAAATAACTTCAAACATTTAAAGGTGGAAAAAGTCTACACGATGAAAAATTCGGGATCATATTACAGTACGAGGTACGTCATCCAGAGTTCCGGTACTTTTTATGGTAAACTTTCACGGAACAAAAAACATTATATACTGCAAGTTCTACCGCAATATTTATTTCAAAATCACGGAGTCACTATAGTTGATTAATTATTAATGTAAAATATATGGTACTGAAATTTGCTGTAAAAATGAATTTTACGGTAAAATTAATTTTACGATTGATGCGCACAGCACAGGGTGTTGGTAATTTACCGCAATTCGATCTGTAATTTATTACAATGCTTACAAAGAACCAATATTCAATACCCACCAGACATTAATGAAGAATACAAACCAGAGTTGGTTAAAAAATAAAAAAATTAAAAAAACGTCACGTTGTTAACTATAATTAGGAAAAAATAAAATAAAAATAAATGTGTAAAACAAAGACGAAATTTTTTTATACCCACGTTGAATTAATGCAAATCTCAAATCTGCTCTGGAATCGTGTTTCATTATTGAGGATGTCGATTCCTTAGTTAACGACATGAGTTTCTCACTTGCTCTGATTTACCTCTTTTGGCCTCCATCAAGGCCACCGCAGGTTTTATTGTTTCGTTTACAACTTATATTTTATTTTCAATTTTTTCATTGGCAACTAAAAGTGTTTTTTGCAATTTAAGTCCAGAGGAACATGAGTGGAGAAACAAATAAAAATACACTTTATTGTTAATCTTACCTGAAATCATTACCGAAAAGTTAACATGCTTTCATGTGTTCCTATAGATAGAGCCAGAAATATGATAAATTTTACCTTATTTTGGTGGTTTTGACTATACTTTTTTTTTCTCAGTATGGATTTAAACGTACTTAGGAATCGATCTTGATTGCTCAAGTGCTTTGGTCAAGACGATACGAAAATAGTCATTAAAATTATTTTCGAAGTTTTAATTTAAAAGCTTTATTTTAAAAATTTTAAAATAAATCGAATTTATAATTCATTTATGTAGTATATCTAGAAAGCGCTGTCAGAGAAGTGTTAAAAAAATTGTTTTAATTAATTATATTTGATTTCATGATTTAACTTACTATCGTTTCTTTTTAAAAAATTACAAAATGTAAAATCTTTTATAATGACATTTTTGCAAAGCAGCTTTTCGAATTATAAGAGTTTCTGCGCATTAAAATTAGCCTGACAGGGGAAAGGGGACTATTCGGTCATTTTTTTCTAATTTATGAAAATACCATATTTAATATATTTTTTTAACTCATGAAGTGTTTTTTTTAAGAATAATTTGGACGCTTACCTGCATTCTTGTTCATATTTGGAATTGCAAAACTGTTTATTTAATAATATTTTTATTTTTAAAAAAAGGTTGTTTTTGTAGACACTTGCCCACTATATAAGACAAGCTATGATGCTAGTTCGGACGAACTTGATAACTTATTATTTTCTCGTTTAATACAACTCAATTAATGCAATCAACTGCAATCTAAGTCTTAGTGCAGAATAAATACTGGCATACTATAATTAAAGTACTAATTTGTACTTTTCATTATACTGAGAAATACAGTTTGAAAGTAAGCCAATACATTTTAAAACTATTATTCAACTTGGTTTATCTGAAAGCAGAAAGCCAATATTAAGTTTAATTTTTAATAACCTTAGTTTTAAATTAATGATGAAATATTCTGAATGGACAACGCACGGAATCTACAAACAAATCGCAAAAGCGGTGACAGGACCGTTCGTGGTTATTCTGCTGAAGAATATAATGTATTACAAAAGATAATATATAAAAAATGCTTGGTTTTCTTTATTAATCCAACTTTATTGAATCATATTCTTTTCACTAATTTCATAAAACAACTCTGTTAAATGTTCTCAAAACCTTCAAAAAGTGAATTAATACAAAGGTTCCGTGCTAAATTTTTCACTTGAGATTGAAACAACTTTTTGTATTTTGTATATCATTCTACAAAATCATTCTAATTAAGAAAATAAATAACGTCAAATGTGTTACATTTTTACGAATTTTTGGGACTTTAAGAAATCACTCAAGTTGATTTGCACATTAGCAAGATAATTTGTAGAATAAATCATTTCTACACAGTAGCATTAACACAAGCAATTTGTTACTGCTTTGTTGCGATATTTTAAGAAATCATCCTAGTAAATCTGCACATCAGCAAGATTATCTGTAGAATAACTGATTTGTACAGTGTAGCAGTAACACAAGCGGTTTGGTTACATTATTAATACTACAAAAAAAGGGGAAATAATGTCTGAAAAAATTACCTTACTGTATGGTAAGGACATTTCTAATGAATAAAAACCATAATTCTAGTTAATAAAACCAAAATATACGGTATTTAAACCATTCATTTGGTAATTTTACCGCGCGTTTGGTTTGATTTACCGAAAATTCTGGTTTTTAAAATTATAATTCTTATGACTACACAGTTCGCAGAATATATAAAACTAAAAAGTAAATTTAATCGAATGTTTTTATTTTTTTATTTTGCCACGCTTTGAGGTATCATGATATAAAATAATCATATTTTGCAACATTTACCGAATTATATATTTTACATTATGAAATCTTATTTTGTTGTTAATTTTACAAAAATCATTATCAAAACGCTGCGGTAAAAACTACCGAGCTTTTTGTTGTTCTCATAGAGCAAGTATCACGGTAAATTTTACCGCATTCTGGTAGCTTCAAACGCTTTTTTTTTCCTCAGTCTCTTTAGCGTCAACTAAAATTGCAAGGTATAAATTTAAGAAAAATGTACAAACATTTTTATGTTTCAATTATTAAAACATTTTTACGTTTTAAATATTCCACCAAATGGTAACACTAAAATTAAAATGGATAAAAGTTGAGTTTTTATAGAAACGTTAAAATAAGAACTGTTTAGATTTATATATTATGCTTAGATTTATTTATTACGTTCATTAATGTAATTACGTTTAATGAATAACTGTAACTCACTGTTTGATTTCCTGATTGACACTGCTCTGGACCAATTCTGTTATCAATCCGCATTTCTGAAAAATAAAATATACATTTATTGCATACGGTTATAGCATGTATTCATGTTACTGTATTTTAAATATAATATATCATTTAAGACTTACTAAAAATAACATAAATATGTCAAATTATATATAAGATGTTTTAATATTTTCTCGTAAAATGCAAAAATTTTAAGTGAAAAATTATTTATTGTATTACTTTCGCTTAAATGTAAAAATTATGGTCAAAATAGTCAAAGAAACATACACATTCTCTCTAATTAATATTTAGGCGAAAAAAAAAGCGTTGTGAAAGGTAAAATAGCAACAAGATGCTCTATTCATCTTAGTTATTTACCCAGTCCAGAGAGAATGAATTAGGAAGCCTAATGTAGCAGGTCATGAAATTTATAAACGCATGTTTTACATTATCCCACTACGGCGCGCAAAACAAAAAAGCGAGCCCCCCTGATTAACTTCTGATCTAATGATCGAATCTTCACGTTCTAGAATTCACTCTTAAAGTCTCAAAGGGGTGAGCTCAAATATGCTGAATAATAAACGATATTTAAAGTCACGAAATTAGACACCAAAACGTACTTTCACTGAATAAACATAACTTTTTCTCGACGAATTCGATTTCTTTCTCTCTTGCTCTGATCAACCCCTTTTGGCTTCCATCATTTCTTANAAAAAAAAAAATAGGGACTGTCCGGAATCCCAGAAATAGGGTCCCAATTGCTTGATCAGGAGATCTGTCCAAAGATTGGATCCCTTGATGTTAATTTTACTTTTTGCGTATCTCGAGAAATTTTTTAAGCGAATTGAAAAATTTTCGCACAAATTTATAAAATTCGTTTATTAAATATAATATATTAAACTGCAAGATATGTAGTTTATTACATCATTTTTAAAAAAAATTAATTTTAAGGGACAAAACAAAATTTGAGCGAAATCGGTCAAGTAGTTTATGAGAAATCTTATTCTGAAAAAGTCGTATTTTTTCGACGAATTCGGAATTCAAATTCATAAAATGTAACAACAAAACAAAATTTGAGCGAAATCGGTCAAATAGTTTAACAGAAATCTTATTTTGAAAAAGTCGTATTTTTAGAATTTGATTTCTCAGGAACTATTTGACCAATTGTGCTCAAAATTTCTAATTTGTCATGTAAAAATACATTCTTTAAAATAAAAGTTGCATAATTTAAATTTATTTAATTGTCAAAAGTTGCATAATTTACAATCCAATTTTTTTCCATTGCTTTTTAATAAAACAATAAAAAATAGAAGAGGCTTATCGAAATTCATTTTTTGGGTGGAATTATCCATGGTTAAATTAATTTTATATTTGTGGGCAAAATGTTTTCAATTTACTTAAAAAGATCTCGCGATATGGCAAAATCAAAAAATGAAAATTAACAGTAAGGGGTTCAAACTTTCGCCCACTCCTCTGACCAAATTAACCATATATCCTAACCAAGCCCCTATATTTTGAGAGTCGAAAATCCTCATTCATCGAGAAAAAAATAACTATATTTATTTAAAGAAAATACTGTTTCGTGCCTGATTTCGTAACTCAAAACATCGTCTGCACTAATTAGGTCACCCCTCTAACCATAGAGTTCTAGAACGTGAAAATACCTTCATTAGGTCAAAAGCTATTCAGGGTGGTCCAATTTTTATTTTGCGCATTGTACATAACATTAAACTTGAATGAGTCAGGAATGGGTAGAAATAAACTACTCCGTGAGCTTAAACCACTGTCCTTGACATTACTATTTCCAGAATAGTTGCCAAACTTTATTTAGAAACATACAGTATTGCTCAAAAAATATCTGATATTTTTTCAGAATCAAATCTATTATTGTTTTATTTTATTACATAAATTTAAATTATATTTAAAAAATTAGTCAGAACCAAATAGCTAAAATAAAAATTAAGATGTATCAAACAACTAAACCATTTTACATCGTGATGTATTTTACGTTTTGTATTCCGCCAACAATTAACTAATTTTACATTACAAAATCCTTTACATTAAATGCAACCTTTACATAGGTATAATACTATGTTTTACATTCTGAAAACAATTAACCAGTTTTACATTACATGATTAACAGTGGCTTCTACACAATGATGACATCTATATTTTGAATTCTACCAACCATATTACATAAAAATCAGTAGCTGCTACCTAATAAGCTATTTCTTATTTTATTTACTGAAACTTTAAAAGTGTTCCAATCTTAAACAAGACAAAAATCATTTTATGACGTATTTAAAATAACTTACCTTCAAACATATCGTGCATTAATTTACCATAAATGGCACACTCTGAATACAAGGGTTGCAAGATCATTCCACCAGCGCCTCCTGGAGCAGTAGCTCCTATTGGACCCCGGCGCCTCCTGGAGCAGCAGCTCCTATTGGACCCAGGCGCCTCCTGGACTACCTGGTGGTCCAGGAGAACCAGGACTTCCAGGTGGAGAACCAGGGCCTCCTCCTCCACCACCGCCTCCTGTACCACCACCTCCTCCTGGACCACCTGCACCTCCTGGTCCACCGGCCCCTCCTGGTCCACCAGGGCAATTAGGAAAACCAGTTCCTCCCTGGCCCCCAGTGCCTCCTGGACCACCAGAGACTCCTGGGCCACCAGCACTTCCTGGACCACCGGCCCCTCCTGGACCACCAGGGCATCCTGGACTACCTGGTGCTCCAGGAGAACCAGGACTACCACCTTGAACTTGTATTGTTGCAAGGATTACCACTGTGATCAATAAAACATTAAATATGAAGCACTTCATGTCGAAGCAGAAGGAAACATGCAAAAGTATGCTTTTTATAGCAATAGTTCGATGCCGTGTGTATACTTCCTGCAACGTATCTTATTCATCTATAAATTATTAACAACACGCGCCGTCAAAACAACACGTTATCAGTGACCTTCTAGACACGCGCTGTAGAAAATTTTCTTCTTCTTTTGCGTAAGAGGAAGCAGTAAGATTAAGAGTATAAGCAAATGATAATAGTTGCATACACGTGTTGAAGTGACAGATTAAAACTTTTTACTTACGACTTCCTGATAAGTTCATTTCTTATATTATTTCAGAAATTTAGAAGTTATTGATTAGANGATAACCAGTGTATTTCTTATTTTATTTACTGAAACTTTAAAAGTGTTCCAATCTTAAACAATACAAAAATCCTTTTAGCTCTCATTTAAAATAACTTACCTTTAAACATATCGTGCATTAAGTTATCATAAGTGGCACACTCTGGATACAAGGGTAGCATGATCATTCCACCAGTGCCTCCTGGAGCAGGAGCTCCTATTGGACATCCGGCGCCTCCTGGACTACCTGGTGGTCCAGGAGAACCAGGACTACCAGGTGGATAACCAGGTGGATAAAAACTTCTTACTTCCGACTTCCTCGTAAGTTCAATTCTTATCTTATATCAGAAATTTGGAAGATGTTTATCAGGTTTTCTCCTGAATAAATTTTGCGTGAGTTTGAAACAGTAATATAAGAATATATGCTATCTAAATAATGAGTTCGAAATATTATTGCAGATGAGAAAAATTTGATCTTATTACATTACTAGCTGGATGTCCGTTCTTAGCACCGGTTGAGAAAAAAATAGATATTCATTAATTTAATATAGAACATTACAAAATCATGTACAAAACTAAAAGACATATACAAACACAATTAATACTGCTAAAATAATTTCATTTTTATTTATTTATTTATTATTATTATTTGTCCTTCTCGGTTGCTTTGTGTTATTAGATAAAGAAAAACCTAAAATAATTTTTTTGTAATTTTATTAATTTCCAATTTACACCTGTGATAACATTTCGTCAATACAGACATTTACAGGGAAGATTTGTTGGCCACTCTTTCAGTGGCACCACATTTGGTGGGCCAACGTTGCACCTACAGGAAGGACAGATAGTATGGAGAATGAAAAAACATCCATGCCATTCCTGGGATTCGAACCCAGAACCTTTCTGATGCAAGGCCAGTTCCCTGACCCCTACACACACAGTACTACTACCCTTACAGTCCGGTCGGTTCAAATAAAAATGTTATTGAACGATGAAGACTCACAATCACCAAAATGTACCACAAACTGGTGGGTTTTTTTTTCGGTACTTATTCGTAGGGCCATGAAAAACTCCCTTCAACGGTATCTATAATAAAACTGCAGCAATAATCATGATACCAATATTGCCTTCATCAAATTTAATTAAGCATCATTGTCAGTAATAACACAACGATTTTTTATCTTTCTCTTAGAGGAATAAATTGAATTTCTCAATTAATTTTGCATTTTAGTCTATGGCTTATTTTTTAATTTCAGCTAGTACTCATTATCAAAATCAATTAAGCACCATTGGCGTCATAAAATGTATTACAAATTTTTTCTTTTCTTCTGAACGAAAAAAATTATTTCTCCATCAATTTTGTGTTTCAGTACCTAATTTATTTTATTTTAATTACTATTAATGCAAAATAATTTTGTTTTACAGTAATACGTTTGAAACAGTAAGAAAAAAATAAACACGTTGTTTCAGATTATTTCAGGAATACTCATTTGATGAGGCAGTCCACTTATACTACCACGTTCTTGTTAATAATTGAGACATAAAGAATAAAAAACAACTAAACATTAAAAAAAGTGCAATAAACTATTTTTTTTAAATAATAAAAACTATTTATGAAAGCTATAAGCTAGCAAACAATCCCGATGTTATCTTTAAAATATTTAATAAACAAAATCGTCTGCAATTTTATTTATAAAGACTAATTGATATGGGGAAATATCATTTTTTAAACGTCTGTACCAAATGATCAATTGAAATTTTTGAACAATTGTTCGGATCATGAATTATAATTAATCCTTTACACCTCTGTCCGAATTTCAGAACACTAGAACAAAGAGTTATAAGAGAGAGAATCACAAACGCATTTTATATTACAGATGAAAAATCAAAACTAATGAATAACGTAGTATTTTAACAACATACACAGATCGTATGCAAAGATATGATTCCATGGTAAAATTAAAATTAAAATTTCATTAGTATCCATGCCCAGAGGTATCGTCATACGATGCTTACGGCACAACCCTACTATGAACTGTTCCTTCTTGTGCTCCTAGACAGGTCATAATAGAAAAGTGCCCCTAACCGCGTACGACGACAAAGTAACTCCCAGATCAAGCACTGTGAAAAACTGGCCTTCGTGGAGAGCTTTGTAATGGAGTAAACCTGTCTTTGCGCTACATGGAGAGGATAATCGCAAAAACCTCACACGGTTAGCTCGACAGCAAGGTGGACCATAACCAATGATCCATTTACTATTTTACTTCAGCTCTGTGGTCGGCTTAAACAAGGTTGCTCAATTTTCTGAAATTTTTGCAATATTCATTGTGTAATATATTGACAGCTGATGAAATGATTAGGGTGCAATTAAATTAAAAGTGTTTTGTTTAGCATTATATTTAAGTTATTCTTTTGTCATAACTAATATATTAACTTGTGATGGTTTTAGCCTGTTTGAATTCTTAGATATATAAAATTTTATTCTACCATTTAAAGTAACGATGAAGTTAAATATATTTTTTTACACAAAATATTCGTGGTTTTGTATCCGAATTAAATCAAATAGGTGTTTTATTTTAAGACAAAATTATTTTTAATAAGCGAAAGGAATGTATTTAACTACTCAGTTGTATAAATGACTGTTTATAATCTGATCCATCCCTAATTTTAACCAATTCAATAAGAAAAAATTTTCCTCAGAAAGAAACGATATAATTATGAAAATTTTTTAAATCGGAATTCTAACTTTTCAGTAAGAAATTCAACTACTTATCAGAAACATTAAATCAATTAATTTTTTTTGAAGCTTTAAACATTAAAAGTGTGTTATTGAAACAAATTTTGTATTAAAAAATGCAGAACTTTATAATTGAATATATTTATTTCATCCACATTTCATGTTTCATCATAAAAGGTGGCAACAGTTATATTTACAATTTAAATTTCGATATCATCAAACTTCGGCTCCGGAGCATAAATTTCCTTGTACAAACTCCATAATCTTATCCACACATTCTTGTGGCATTGGCTCAGTTACTGCACAGCGAACCTTTTCCACATCTTCAGACATGCATATCTAAAAAATGAATAAATAAATACATAAAAAAAATTAAGGAACATGACAAAAAAAGTACCTTTATTCTACTATTCGAAAAGAAAAAATAACTTTAAAGCTTTATTTTAAAAATTGTAAAATAATTTTTAATTCTTTTATGCGATATATGTAGAAAGCGCTGTCAGAGAAGAGTTAAAAAAATTGTTTAAATTAATTATATTTGATTTCATGATTAAACTTACTATCGTTTCTTTTTAAAAAATTACAAAATGTAAAATCTTTTTTAATGACATTTTTGCAAAGCTGCTTTTCGAATAATAAGAGTTTCTACGCATTAGAATTAGCCTGATAGAGGAAAGGGGACTATTCGGCCATTTTTACTAATTTATGAAAATACCATATTTAATATATTTTCTTAACTTATAAAGCGTTTTTTTAAGAATAATTTGGACGTTTACCTGCATTCTCGTTTATATTTGGAATTACGAAACTGATTATTGAATAATAGTTTTTTTAAAAAAGGTTGTTTTTGTAGACGTTTGCACCACTACATGGGACAAGCTATGTGGCTAGAGTGGATGAACTTAATAACTTATTATTTTCTCGTTTAATACAACTCAATTAATGCAATCAACTACAATCTAAGTCTCAGTGAAGAATAAATACTGGCATATTATAATTAAAGTACTAATTTGTACTGTTCATTATACTGAGAAATACAGTTTGAAAGCAAGCCAATACATTTTAAAACTATTATTCAATTTGATTTATCTGAAAGCAAAAAGCCAATTTTAAGTCAAATTTTTTAATAAAATAATAATTTATAATAATAAATTAATGATGAAATATTCTGAAGGACAACACACAGAGTCTGCAAACAAATCGCAAAAGCGTGGACAGGACTGTTCGTGGTTATTCTGTTTTATAATAATGTATTACAAAAAATAAATATTTAAAAAACACTTTGCTTTCGTTATTAATCCAACTTTATTGAATCATATTCTTTTCACTAATTTCATAAAACAACTCTGTTAAATGTTCTCAAAACCTTTAAAAAGTGAATTAATGCAAAGGTTCCGTACTAAATTTTTCACTTGAGATTGAAACAACTTTTTGTATATTGTATATCATTCTACAAAATCATTCTAATTTAGAAACTAAATAACGTCAAATGTGTTGCAATTTTAATAAATTCATATTTCTTCCAATGGCATCTATTTGGTTTTGCTTAATGTTGATTAATTGAAACTAGTCAAAGTAAAGGTTAATATCAAAATTTAAGAAAAAATAATCCTGCATAATTTGTATTATATTTTGACCTCTTGTTGAAAATCTGAAAGCAAAATATGTAACTAATATATATTTTTAATATTTTTTTTCTCAATTAGCAGTTTTCTGCGGTTCGTTTCAGAAAAAGCTCATATATGTTGATTTTGAGGGATTAATTTCTTTTAGAAAAATGACAATTAAGAGAATGAATAGAGGATTCATTACTAATGTCTTTATTACTGTTGAGAATACCTCGATCCCCCCTAGCGGACAAATACAGAAACATTCAATTACGAACTTTTTCTCCACGAGCGTGGTATAGCTTAGAATTTGTAATGAACAACGTACAACTCTTTTCATCTGTATATAGCTTTCCCTTTTTTTATCATGCTTAAATTATTAAATTTAATTCTTAAACGTTTTGTGCGAAGTATTTTTCAGCCTAAGTGTATTAGTTATCTACAGCCCAAGACCTTTGGAAGAGAATACTAGGTGAAGGCAGAACAAGAAGCCGAAACAAGGTAAGATTCCTTGTTGATATATATTGAATCATTAGAAGTCTTTGTTTAGTATTCGTTATATGGCATCCCCTGCTGGGACGATAGTTAACTTTTTTAATTTGAACACTTATTAAATTGAAATGAAAAATATAAATTAGCACTAAATTAAAAAAATAAACAATGGAGGAACGGGTAACAATTTTAAAGAAAAAAAGAGGTTTGCTTAGATCGTCTGTTACTAAAGCACTGAATGTATTAGAAAATGAACTTAAAACAGAAGTGTCAGATATCAGTGTTTTAGAAGAGTGTTTACATTTTCTTCTAAACAAAAATGAATCACTTGAATCGATTAACAAAGAATTAGAAGTTTTGTTTACACCAGATGAGTTTGAAGACGAATTTTCGAAATCAGAAGAGTACAGTGAAAAAGTTGTTCGTTGTAAATTCCGCGCTACCAAGAAAATTCAGGAATTAAACGAAACCATATCGATTGAAAAATCTAAAAATAAGGAATCCTTAGGANACTGTGATCGGTTTAAACAAAATTGCACAATTTTCTGAAATTTTTGCAATATTCATTTTGTATTCTTTTGATAAAATTATTAGGGTACAATTAAATGAAATATGTTTTGTTCAGCATTATATTTAATTTATTCTTTTGTCATAATTAATATATTAATTTTTGATAGTTGAACCCTGTTTGAATCCTTAGATATATAAAATTTTTATTGCACCATTAAAAGTAAACATAAAAGTAAATATATTTTTTTAAACAAAATATTCGTAGTTTTGTATCCGAATTAAATCAAATAAGGGTTTTATATCAGGACAATATTATTTTTTAAATCAGCATTACAAGCGAAAAAAAATTAATCAACTACTCAGTTGTGTAAATGGCTGTTTATAATCTGATCTATCTGTTATTTTAACCAATTAAATTAGAAAAAAAAATTTTTAGAAAATCAAAAAATATCAAAATCGGAATTCTAATGTTTCAGTAAGAAATTCAACTACTTATGATAAACATTAAATTAGTGAATTTTTTTTGAAGCTTTAAAAACTAAAAGTGTGTTATTGAAACAAATTTTGTATAAAAAAAATGTAGAACTTTAAAATTGAATATATTTATTTCACCGACATTTCATGTTTCATCACAAAAGGTGGCAACAGTTATATTTACAATTAAAATTTCGATTTCATCAAACTTAGGCTCCGGAACATAAATTTCCTTGCACAACCTCCATAATCTTATCCACACAGTCTTGTGGCGTTGGCTCAGTTACTGCACAGCGAACCTTTTCCACATCTTCAAACATGCATATCTAATAAATAAATAAATAAATACATTAAAAAAATTAAGGAACACGACAAAAAAGTACCTTTATTCTAATATTAGAAAAAAAATTAACTTCAAACTTTTTAAGGTGGAAAAAGTCTACACGATGAAAAATTCAGGTTCAAATTACAGTACAAGGTACGTCATCCAGACTGCCGGCACTTTTTACCGCAAACTTTTACACAACAAAAAACATGTTATATCGTAAGTTTTACCGCGATATTTATTTCAAAATCACCGAGTCACTAATTATTAAGGTAAAATATATGGTACAGAATTTTGCTGTAAAAATGAATTTAACGGAAAAATTAATTTTACGATTGATGCACACAGGCAGGGCCTGATTATCGCCTAGGCCCACAACAAATGTGTAAATGCTTCAGATGGAGAGCAACAATCTTTCATGTTGATGTTTTAAATTGTTCTATTTACACGACTTCTACAATATTAAGATTTCGATTTTCTTGACAGTTTCGAAATGATGAAACCAAATTATAAATCTGGTTGTTCGAAATAAAAGAAAACAGCTTTTAATGATTTAGCATCATTTGCATTAACATGATAACATTAAATGAATAAAATGCAAAAAGCTTTGAAATTCTCATAAAATTATTTGCTGAAAAAAGTGTACATAGAAATAAAAAAACTTATCATTTTTTAAAAATAACTTTAAATCTAAAGACAGGTGAATAGTTACAGCTTAATAATAAAGCAAAAGTACAGTTTCTGTTTCTGCTTGTGTATAAAGTAAAAGTACAGTAGTTTTTGCTTGTGGTTAACAGATGTCTTTGACGATTTTTATTTGAACATAACTTTGTTTTGCTCAATTTATATTCTGCTTTTATATTTATTTAGTAGTATTTAAGATCAAATTTCGAAGCAGAAATAACCTATTTTGTTATAAGTTGAATTAGATATTATTGCGTAACAGGATTTTGAAATTCTTGTAAAATTATTTGCTGAAAAAAGTGTACAAAAAAAAACTTTTTTAAAAAGTCTATTGAATTGAGTACTTGAAAAATGTTTCATCAATGTATCATAACTCTTTCATTGAAAATGAATTTTTTTTAAAAGTGATTTGTCTAAATAAATTATTGCTTAAATGCGTTTTAAATTTTCTAAGAGTTGCTATAATTTTGGCTCTTTTGAATTTTTTTTGTGTGTTGAAATTTATTTTTTAATATAAATTATAATTAATAACCTTAATATCTTAGCATACACGCTGAAATTATCGTGAAATCTGATGAAAAGTTGGCTAGTTTTGTGTTGAATAAAATACTCAGTAAAAGAATTAATTACAGCTTACGATAAAAAATAATTCAGCTAATCAGTGACTTTTAGCAAAAATCACTGATTTCAATTGTTTGTGGTCACAAAACTATTTTTGTTTTGTTACAACATTATTTTATATTTTGCTTTAATATGAAGATGCATAAACTCTATCTTAAACAAATAATCTTCAATTGTCCGCTTTCATAATTTTTTTGAATGTTTCTCTTGAATCATGCAGTTCAGTAGATTCTTTTTTATCATTAGACTACTTTTCAGAAATTTAATTTCCAAATATTCTTATAAGGGGCCCGGAAAGTTTGGTGGGCCTTGGACCTGAATTTGTCTTGATCCGTCCCTGCACACAGGGTGTTGGTAATTTACCGTAATTCGATCTGTAATTTATTACAATGCTCGCTAAGAACCCATATTCAATACCCTCCAGACATTAATGAAGAATACAAAACAGAGTTGGTTTGAAAAAAATTTTTAAAAAAAAGTCGCGTCGTCAACTATAATATAGAAAAAATAAAATTTAAATAAAGGTGCGAAACAAAGACAAATTCTTTTATACCCACGTTGAATTAATACATATCTCTAATCTGCTCTGGAATCTTATTTCATTAATGTGGATGTCGATCCCTTAGTTTACGGCGTGAGTTTCTAACTTGCTCTGATCTACCTCTTTTGGCCTCCATCATTTATCAAGGCTACAGCAGGTTTTATTGCTTTGCTTTCAACTTATATTTTATTTTCAATTTTTTCATTGGCTCTATAATAGGACTGCACCAATAATCATGATACCAATATATATATGTTTATTCAGAGAAAATACGATTCGGTGTCCAATTTCGTAACTAAATTAATAGTTAGCACTAAATAAGTAGTATATTTGAGGTCACCCCCAGGAATCATTAAGATTGATACTTAGTGCGTGAAAATCTGATCATTAGAACGAAAGTTATTCAAGGTTATATCTTTTTTTNTAGGAATCGATCTTAAATGTTCAAGTGCTTTGGTCAAGACGACAAAAATTAGTCATTAAATTTACTTTCGAAGTTTTAATTTAAAAGCTTTATTTTAAAATTTTTTAAATAAATCGAATTTTTAATACATTTACGTTGTATATCTAGAAAGCGCAGTCAGAGAAGTGTTAAAAAATTTTTTTTAATTAATTATATTTGATTTCATGATTTTACTTACTATCGTTTCTTTTTAAAAAATTACTAAATGTTTATTAATGTTACTAATGTTACTAATTTAAGTTCAGAGGAACTCGACTGGAAAAGCAAATAAAATTACATTTTATTGTAAATCTCACCTGAAGTCATAACCGAAGTGTTTCCGAAAAATTAACATCCTTTTATGTGTTCCCATAGATAAATTCAAAATTTTACCATATTTTGGTAGTTTTGACTAAACTTTTTTTTTCAGTATGGATTTAAACGTAATTAGGAATCGATCTTAAATGTTCAAGTGCTTTGGTCAAGACGACAAAAATTAGTCATTAAATTTACTTTCGAAGTTTTAATTTAAAAGCTTTATTTTAAAATTTTTTAAATAAATCGAATTTTTAATACATTTACGTTGTATATCTAGAAAGCGCAGTCAGAGAAGTGTTAAAAAATTTTTTTTAATTAATTATATTTGATTTCATGATTTTACTTACTATCGTTTCTTTTTAAAAAATTACTAAATGTAAAATCTTTTATAATGACATTTTTGCAAAACTGCTTTTCGAATAATAAGAGTTTCTGCGCATTAAAATTAGCCAGACAGGGGAAAGGGGACTATTCGGCCATTTTTCACTAATTTATGAAAATACCACATTTAATATATTTTTTTAACTCCTGAAGTGTTTTTTTAAGAATAATTTGAACGATTACCTGCATTCTTGTTTATATTTGGAATTGCAAAACTGTTTATTTAATAATAATTTTTCTTAAGGTTGTTCTTGTAGACGCTTGTAATTGAAGTACTGATTTGGACTATTCATTATACTGAGAAATACAGTTTGAAAGCAAGTCAATGCATTTTAAAACTATTATTACACTATATGGGACAAGCAATGAGGCTAGTGTGGACGAACTTGATAACTTATCATTTTCTTGTTTAATACAACTCAATTAATGCATTCAATTACAATCTAAGTCTTAGTGAAAAATAAATACTGAAATATTATAATTAAAGTACTAATTTGGACCATTCATTATACTGAGAAATATAGTTTGAAAGCAAGCCAATACATTTTAAAACTATTATTACACTATATGGGACAAGCAATGAGGCTAGTGTGGACGAACTTGATAACTTATCATTTTCTTGTTTAATACAACTCAATTAATGCATTCAATTACAATCTAAGTCTTAGTGAAGAATAAATACTGAAATATTATAATTAAAGTACTAATTTGGACCATTCATTATACTGAGAAATACAGTTTGAAAGCAAGCCAATACATTTTAAAACTATTATTCAACTTGATTTATCTGAACGCAGAAAGCCAATTTTAAGTAAACTTTTTAATAACCTTAGTTTTAAACTGATAATAATGTTCTAAATGGATAACATACGGAATCTACAAACAAATCTCAAAAGCGGTGACAGGACCGTTCGTGGTTATTCTGTTTTAGAAAGATGTATTACAAAAGATAAATATTTAAAAAATACTTTGTTTTCTTTATTAATCCAACTTTTTTGAATCATATTCTATTCACAAATTTCATAAAACAACTCTGTTAAATGTTCTCAAAACCTTTAAAAAGTGGATTAATTCAAAGGTTCCGTGCTAAATTTTTCACTTGAGATTGAAACCACTTTTTGTATATTGTATTTTATTCTGCAAAATCATTCTAATTTAGAAAATAAATAACGTCAAATGTGTTACATTTTTACGATTTTTTGGGACTTGAAGAAATCACTCTAGTTAATTTGCACATTAGCGAGATAATTTGTAGAATAAATCATTTCTACACAGTAGCAGTAAGACAAGCAATTTGTTACTGCTTTGTTACGGTATTTTAAGAAATCATCCTAGTAAATCTGCACATTAGCAAGATTATCTGTAGACTAACTGGTTTCTACAGTGTAGCAGTAATACAGTGTAGCAGCAATAAAAACCATAATTCTAGTTAATAAAACGAAATTATACGGTACTTAAACCATTCATTTGGTAATTTTTCCGCTCGTTTGGTTAGATTTTCCGAAAATTCTGGTTTTTGAAATTATAGTTCTCATTACTGCACAGTTCGCATAATATACAAAACTAAAAAGTAAATTTAATCTAATGTTTTTTATTTTTATTTTGCCACACTTTGAGGTATCATGATATAAAATAATCATATTTTGCAACATTTACCGAATTATATATTATACATTATGAAATCATATTTTGTTGTTAATTTTACAAAAATCATTATCGAGACGCTGCGGTAAAAACTACCGAGCTTTTTGGTATTCTCATAGATCACGGTAAATTTTACCGTATTCTGGTAGTTTCAAAAACGCTTTTTTTTTCTCAGTCTCTTCAGCGTCAACTAAAATTGCACGGCATAAATTTAAGAAAAATATACAACCATTTTTAAGTTTCAATTAAAGTATTTCTGCTTTTAAAAATTCTACCAAATGGTAACACTTAAGTTAAAATGGATAAAAGTTGAGTTTTTATAGAAAACGCTAAAATAAGGACTGCTTAGATTTATTTATTATGCTTAGATTTATTTATTACGTTCATTAATGTAATTATAAATGTTTTTTGAATAACTATAACTCACTGTTTGATTTCCTGATTGACACTGCTCTGGACCAATTCTGTTATCATTCCGCATTTCTGAAAAATAAAATATACAATTATTGCATGCGATTATAGCATGCATTCATGCTACTGTATTTTAATGTAATATATCATTTAAGACTTACTAAAAATAACATAAATATGTCAAAATAAATATAAGATGTTTCAATATTTTCTCTTAAAATGCAAAAATTTTAGGACAAAGATTATTTATTTTTTTATTTATTTTTTTATTTTCTCTTAAATGTAAAAATTTTAAGTTATACAACTTGAAATTTTTTGTCAAAATAGTCAAAGAAACATACACATTCTCTCTAACTAATATTTAGACCGAAAAAAAAGCATTGTGATGCTCTGTTCATCATAGTTATTTACCCAGTCCAGAGAGAATGAATTAGGAAGCCTAATGTAGCAGGTCATGAAATTTATAAACGCATGTTTTGCATTATCCCACTACTGCGCAAAACAAACAAAAACGAGCCCCCTGATTAACTTTTGATCTAATGATCGAATCTTCACGCTCTAGAATTTACTCCAAATGGTTCAAAGGGGTGAGCTCAAATATGCCGAATAAAAAACGATATTTTAAGTTGCGAAATTAGGCACCAAAACGTACTTTCAGTGAATAAACATAACTTTTTATCGACGAATTCGATTTCCGACCCCCAAAAATAGGGACTGTCCGGAATCTCAGAAATATAGTCCCAATTGCTTGACCAGGAGAGCTGCCCAAAATAATTAATATAATTGTATTTATAATTGTAGTTTATCAAATGTTGTCAACATCTGGAAAAATTTAAAGGAAACTCTGAAAGATTCTAATAATAATTGCTGCAAAAATTTTTTTACTAAACGATATGAACAAGCGTTAACACCAGCTCATTTCCTAGCTTACCTCTTGGATCCTAATTCTGAAGTACAATGTTTAACACTAAATGAAAAAGATCAAGCTGTAAACTTTGTTAAAGAAAAGTATGGAGAAACCTCCTTATTAAGTATTTTGCTAAAATTCATTGTACGCTCTCCTCCGTTTAATGGAACTTTGTTTGATAAAGAATCTCTAGAATCTTTAAACATCTTGGAATGGTGGAAATCAATTGCGCTTCTAAAGAACTGTGTAGGTCAAAAAGAGTTTGATGCAATACAGTTGTTATGTACTGCAAAAGGAACAACTGCAGGGATAGAGAGGATGTTTTCCACTTTTGGACTTGTACATACTAAACTACGGAATCAATTGGGTGTAGAAAAGGCAGCTAAATTAGTCCTTATGTTTAAATCTTTAAATAAAACTAATTAAATGATTGTTTAAATAATTTGATATTGTAGATGTAGAATTAATAATTATCACATATTGTTTGATAAACAATTTCTTTCTTGATTTGTAGTTTGAAATCACTTTGTTATTGTTTATTTCTTATTTCACCTTTTGCTTTTAAATTATTAAGAAATATTTTGTTGATAATGGTTAGTAATGTTTATTTCCAATGTATACCATAAGTAACAATAGTAATACAATACAACTTTAAATCTATGGTACACAAAATTGATTATATTCCATAGAATTGAAATTATAAAAAAATCATGATTAAAATCAAAAAAATCCGATTAAAATCAAAAAAATCCGATTTTTTTGATTTTTTAAAAAAAATCATGATTTTTATACACCCTGA